TAATTTCAGTAAAAATTTTGATATTAATTGCTAAAAAAATTGCTATCAATTTTTTTAAAAAATCATCTCATTAAATTGTTAAATTAAAAAATTTTAAAACTAATTATTTATAAATAGAATCTAAACTTTAATTAGAAATGTAATTTTTTTTTAATTCTTTCCTCCCTGCAGACACTAAGAAGGCCCTTTTTAAAGCAAGTTCTATCGGGGTTAGGCTAGGCCAGGCCCACAATGGGGGCGGGTGGTGAGCGTGGGTGTTAGCAGAGGAGGAAACAGGCACTTGGCCCCCACTGGGATCGAGTATAAAGTTTCACAAATTATAATCGCAAAACTGAGATATGTGACATTTATTGATGCAATACTATATTCTATAATATACTTGTGATTTGGTTTATTTGTATATGCGACACATGAACGATCTGTCGACTGGATTCCTCCCGGGTGTCACCTCGTCGGCAGATCGCTCACGTGTCGCATATACAAATAAACTTTTAACATAAAAAAACACGTATATTTTATGGGAAAGCGACCCCTATTTAGATGTTACTAACGCAGTGGCTCGTTATCCTATGGGAGAAAAAGGCAATTGACTGAAGCCCCCACCAACGGGGGCCTCAAATCAATCTTTCATAAGAAAATATTTTCCCCAAAAAATTCCCTTGTAGCCAACACCGTATATGGTGTCCCCTAATTCAAATTTGCCTGGACTACATGAAGCTATAACGTTGTACTAACGTGAAGAAAACCCGGAAAACTCCACGTGCCAACACGTTGGCCAGGCGCGAACCCACAACCAACTATCAATGTTCGGTGATTATAGCCATTCGGTGACTGGTGGGTCAATCTACTTGTGAAAGAAACACGATAAATTAAATAAAATTTTATTGATGTAATTATTTGTCTTCAAGCTTTCCTTCCCTAGAAAATATTCTGCAGAAGTGATGGATGGAGTCTGACATATCCGGATGAATCCGTCCGAAAACTTCCTGGAATTTTTCGATCTATCAGGATTCAATCCAGGATTCCAGATCCCTCAGAGTGGTAAGCTGTCACCTTAACCACTCGGCCATCCAACCGTGATAAATGTAAATTATTATTAAAAAAATAATTTTTCTTTTCAATTTATGATTTTTGAAATGATTAAAACGTTAATTTTGTATTTTTTTAATTACATCTTATCGGTTTAATTCCTTATTTAAACAGAAATAGAGTTTTAAACTTAAATATAATCTGTAATAGTTCTATACATTTTTAAACAGATTTAGCTTTTCTATNTTTATCATCCTTCCCACATGTTTATCATCACTATCACTCGTTTATTGTCTGTCTCGTTTATCGTCCATCTCACTTGTTCGGCTGCAATTTTCGAATTGCAGACCTATACATTTCCACTGTCGTCCGTCTGTTAATAACTCGTTAATATCGAGAAAAGAATGATATATGAAAATCGAGACTATGTGAATTTAGACTTCGATTTATATATATATATAATCCTTAGAAACGAATCAGAAGTTGTTTTTTCTCGAAGAGATTTCTCTATAAATCCCCACAAACTCGAAACTAAATGGATTTATAAAACCTTGTAAACGTTTATATAAAAGTAAATTCGTCTTTAAAACGTTTCAAACGTTAAAATATTATTAAACAAATATAATTTTTGTACTTTTCCGGCTGTTATATGAAAATTTTGGGGGTTCTTTTTCGACACGGGTCCTCCAAATGTCGAGAAATGAAAAAAAATTGGTGTTTTTTCTGTATGTAGGGATGTTTGCGTGTGAGGCACGATTTTGTTCAGAAGTTAATAAATCCCGTGCCCTTTGTCGAAATTTTCTGAAATTTTGCAGGAGGGTTTGAGTATTAGGGGGAAACGTTTACAGAAATTTTCAACCAAATCGAATTATTGGTTCGAGAGATATGGCCCCACTTCATTAACATCTCCGGAACCAATCTGAAAGTTCGTTTATTTTGTTAAAGTACGGCAACGCAACACTTGGGCCATCTGCGTAGGGGAATGCTTTCCTAGAGACCTTTCTGAGGGTAACTGGTCCCTATTCAAGCGTTACAAACATGGAGATAACCCGGAAAACTCCACGTGGCCTGCCCGTCCTGGCGAGCCGCGAACCCACGATCGAACGCCCAGTGCTCAGGGAACGGAACCGCTTGACCACTAATGGACCCTGAAGACTTAAAGATAATGGCAGCAGTTATTAGGGACGAAAACAAAGAATTCCGGGAAAAATCCATCAACGTGTTTCCAGTTTTTTTTTTAAATTAAAAAAATATATGTATTAAAGTGTGTGTTAAACGATTATTTTTAGCGTAAAAAATGACGCATTATTGGAGATTTCGAATGACATATCCCCCATCAGAATTATGGGAAATTGAATTGTAAATTAATTACGAATCATTTTATGTATAAAATAATTGTATTTTTGTTGTAAATTATATATAATTTTTACTCTTAGATCATAATTCTGAGGATTGTTTGCTGGCATCACGCTGTGTTGGCATAGATTTTTACTGGAGTGATGATGCTCTTATCTCAATTTTCTTAGAATTTATTTTATGGTAAGTGATTCAACACAGCAACAATATATTGTTTTTTTGTAGAATTTCCTATAATTTAAACTCAATTCTTAACGTTTTATTTTTATTGCTGGTTTCATTCTCGATTGCTGTTTTCTGTCATCTGTTACATTTTAACATTGTCTCGCTCTCTTCTTTTGTTGATTTTATTTATTTTAACGCTTTACTGTACTTTTATAGCGAGCATTTTTTAGTTTATTTACAGTTTTTACGATCAATTTTTTCGAGGTTTAATTGTTTTATTTAGAGTAGAATTTAGACTTAATGATACAGGTATCCCTCGCAAATATTTGAAAATTGTCATTTAAAAAATGACAATTTTTAAAGTTATTTGTTAAAGTTATACGAAAAGTTAATCAAATTGATTATTTAAAATAATTAATTACATTACTAAATGTATATTTTTTCTGATTACTTTAAACTGAAATATACATTTCGCTTTACGACTGGCGTAAGTTTTCTATCGGTATTATGATCTCTGTGAAGTTCTGTATGCTTTCGTTGGTCGTCTCTCTCATTTTTTTATCATCCTTCTCGCTCGTTTATCAATCATTTCACCCGTTCATCATTTTCATCATCCTTCATCATCCATCTTACTTGATTATCATCCTTCCCACATGTTTATCATCATTATCACTCGTTTATCATCTATCTCATCCGTTTATCATCCTTCCCTCATGTTTATCATCATTATCGCTCATTTATTATCTATTTCATCCGTTTATCATCCTTCCCACATGTTTATCATCATTATCACTCGTTTATCATCTATCTCATCCATTTATCATCCTTCCCACATGTTTATCATCACTATCACTCGTTTATCATCTATCTCATCCGTTTATCATCCTTCCCACATGTTTATCATCACTATCACTCGTTTATCATCTATCTCATCCGTTTATCATCCTTCCCACATGTTTATCATCACTATCACTCGTTTATCATCTATCTCATTCGTTTATCATCCTTCCCACATGTTTATCATCACTATCACTCGTTTATTGTCTGTCTCGTTTATCGTCCATCTCACTTGTTCGGCTGCAATTTTCGAATTGCAGACCTATACATTTCCACTGTCGTCCGTCTGTTAATAACTCGTTAATATCGAGAAAAGAATGATATATGAAAATCGAGACTATGTGAATTTAGACTTCGATTTACGACGGATCCTATAAAGACGGTTTATTATAAATACGAGAGTTTATTTTATCAGCATTAACGCATGTTAATTTATAATATACAGTAAAACCTGTGTAAACCGGAATCGCACGTTAATGAATATTTTTCCGGATTGATTGGTTTCTGTTTTGAACAGATTACGTTTAGGACAAGTTTCACTGTAATTTATGGGGAAAATATGGCTTTAACTGATTGTAGTTACACTATTTTTTTTCAAAATATATGTCCTCGGTTTTAGTAGTCTTGTACCCCTGTATATCATACTTCTCCTAATAACAATCGAGTCGTGCCGGTCATTTAACTCCGTTCTGGAGAGAATTTTTTACTTGAAATCATGTGACTTCAGGTATATACTGGAATTTGGTATACAGGTAATCGTGACCGGACCATGATCCGGAAAATGGAGTTTTATATATATATATATATGAAAATCAAGACCAGAATAAAAGTAAATTCGTCTTTAAAACGTTTCAAACGTTAAAATATTATTAAACAAATATAATTTTTGTACTTTTCCGGCTGTTATATGAAAATTTTGGNGTCAGTGGGAATGTATAAGCGTGCAATATTCAAATTAAAGCCCAATAAGAGGTTAAAAATATTAATTTTAAAGAAAAATAATTCTTTAATTAAATTAAAAGCTTAATATTTTTACTAAAATTAGATATAACAAAGAAAATAATAAATTATACTAGAAATGAAGCATTATAAATCTTACTCTCTTGTATGTACTTTAGTGATTTGTATAGAAGCATAGAAATTGAAGAAGAAAGACAAGAGAAGGAAAGATTAATAAAGGAAGGGATGAGATTTATAAAAAAAAATATAGTTTATAATTTAAAAAATCACGTGACTTCCCGGTCTGGACAGGAAGCTCTTATACGGAATATCCGGTCTGGATTATACCCCTGTACATCATATTTCTCCTGATGGCAATCGAGTCATGCCGGTCATCTAACTCCGTTCTGGAGAGAATTTTTGAATTGAAATCACGTGACTTCCGGTCCAAATGTGAATTTGGTATACAGGTAATCGTGACCGGACCATGATCCGGAAAATGGAGTTTTATATATATATATATATGAAAATCGAGACCAGATATGGAAAGCTATCCATATCTGATCTCGATTTTCAACTGTCTAATTCCAGATTAAAGAAGGACAAACATACGGACGAAAATCTGTACTAAAATTAAGGGGGGGAAAGTTTAATGACGTAAATAAATGCATTACCTGTCGACGTAATCACCCAAGAAGAGATAATTGGCATCAGGCGGATAACCCGTTTTATCGAAATGTCTTAGGAGATCAGAATACTGTCCGTGAATGTCACCAACAATGTTGACAGGTGCTTCAAGTTCGACTAACATGGGCTGTTGTAGAAAGATTTCTCTAGAAACGTGACACAGTTGACGGATTTGATATTCTGGTAATTGGACCTAAAAAACAAAAAAGGGTAAAATAAAATTTAGTAAAACGTATTTTTAATTATAAATTTCCTATAAATAATTTAAGATTTATGGAAATTCTATAGAATTAATGCAGTTCTTTATATATTTTTCCATCGTTTTCGGCGTTAATTTACAAGAAAATCGCACTTTAAATGAGCATAAATTGCTGCTTTTTCGTGTTTTGCGTCGTAAATAATGCGATTCTTTAATGGAATAAATTAAATAATTTGATTAATTTGTAATATTTGTCGTTTTAAAGCGTAATTTTGAAATCTTTTAAGTGAAAAAATCGAGGAAAATAAGCACAGGTGGAGGGAGAAATTAGCGCATCACGGATGAAAAATTCATTAAAATTCGACTCTAAGATCGATATTTTGTAGAGAAAAACTTATATTTTCGTTATCCATAGCATAAGTTTTTAAAATTCTACTTAAAAATATAAAAAGTAAGTCAATTTTAACCCGCTTACAGCGCGCAAAATAAATTAACGAAAGATCTCTCCTTCGATATTACGCAATTTTAGGAAAATTAAGCATTTATCCCATTGAAAAATAATAATATTTCACGTTAAATGATTCGAAATTCGATCTGACAAACAATGTAGAAGCACATTTCACATGAGATTCGATCGACCCATTCGTCGATCGATGACGAAGGTTGAAATTGTTACCACAAACGTAATGCCGACCGTGTTACTTTAGTATTAAAACTAATCTCTGTTTAAAATAATAGAAATGTATGATAAAATGTCTGCCGTTTATGTACTTAAATATATTCGAAAGCATCGTAAAGTTACTGTTGAATTATTCATCTTTACTGAAGTAAACAATGCTGTTTTAACAGCTGCGACTTCTCTATAAGCTTATGAAATTTTCATTTCCTGATTAAATTTTTAATACATTTTGCTTTTTTAATAAAATTATTCAATTTTTTAAAGATTTAATTACATTTTTATTGCTTTTTTTTTACTCTTAAAACACTGTTTATCTTGTTAAAACAGGGTGCGAGTATGTAAGAACGTGCTCGAAATGACGGATTTTAAGCTTAATTTCAATAAATATTTAAAGTAAATTTGTTTTTTTTTATTAAAATTATTTAACTCTTTAAAGAATTAACGCTAGTTTAATGCGTTTTTCTTCTTAAAATACTCGTTTATCTTATTCTTTAATGGGGCATGACTATGTAAGAAAATGTTGATAACCTTCTCGAAAGGATAGATTTTAAGAATAATTTCAATAAAAAAAAATTGTATTTATGTAATATAAAAACGGTTAATTGAGATATAAAACTTGAAAATATTCAACAGAATAAGAGAAATTGCTGTTTATTTTTGTAATAAATCAGATAATTAATTAGTCTAAGATAAGAGTGGTTTTACCACTTTTGTAAGCAAAATTACCAAAGGGATCAATGAATAAACGTTAAAGAATATATCAAAGAAAAAATTTTACGATTTTTACAATCGTAAAAAGATAAGAAAATGCGATAAAAGTTTCAATTTTTATTCTTTAATATTTTATTATTTGCTTAAAAGTTACATTTAATAAATTGATATTCTGTTTACAGTTCAAACAAAATGTATTTTCCTCTTTATTTTAAGCTATATTTTTTGCTTTCGAAATTTTACAAAAAAAATCCCTACAATTTAAACGTAATTTTTATCCCCGTTTTGAAGCTTAAATACGACGAAAACTCGAGTGTTTTTTGACACGTTTTACGTGAAATTTTAATTGTTTAAGCATTTAAACTCGTATAAAATGAATAGAATTAAAGTGATATTTTCGAAATTTATTTAAAATAGCGTGTTTAATCGTGTATTACGCGCAGAAAATTGCTAGCATCGAATATAATCCGCACCTGTATGGAGTTTTGTACCAGTCGACTCCACTATAACACTGTTGATAATTCCGTTTTATATGAATTCCATGTTGTACGAGTCACTTAGATTTTATAAATACGTGTGCCGGGCTATGAACGGCTCACGTATTTGTAAAATCTAAGTGACTCGTACAACATGGAATTCATATAAAACGGAATTATCAACAGTGTTATAGGGGATTGACTGTAATTGTAATTTAAAATCGGCGTATAACCCGCACCCCTTCGTTGTCTTTTAACGCAGTTAAATTATGCTTAATAAGTAATTTTTTAAATAAATGAATGTTATTAAATTTATATTAAACTGTTCATTATGTTAATTTAATATTATTTGAATCGTATTTTTTTAATTAAATTAATTTAAATAATGAAAAAAAATTTATTGATTTTTTTCTTTCTTATGTTTTGGCTTGTTATTAATGATGATTACTTAGAAATGGAAGTTTAAAAGTTGTATTATTTTTTTTAAATTAATTTTAATAAGTTTTTACTTTGTTAAATGTAAAATTAATATTATAAAATTCATTGATTAATTTTATAATTGATTTAGTACAACTGTATATTTTTTTAAGCAAATAACTTAAAGTTTTCAATTGTTTCAGGTCAAAAAATAGGAGTTAAAGATACCAGGAATTAGGTGAAAATTGGTAAGTAGCGTACTTAATATATTTACCTGTAACTAAGGAAATATTTATGAATTTTGTACTGAAATTCTATACTTTTCGGTGGATACAGCTCTTGTTTTTTCACCTTTATTTAATTAAAACGTGAGGGTTTAACATACATGACAGTCAAGAATGCCACAGGGGAGTAAAAGGAGCAAATGCCCTGGGCCTGAGAAAGTAGAGCCTTTACGCAATGTTTTTTATATATATATAATTAGGCCTCAATTTGAAAAAAAAAACTGTAGACCTAAAATTTTCACTTCCTTAATTTCGAGAACGGAGTTAGATGAAAGTCGAAGCCAGATATGAAAATTTTAGGGCCAGGAGGTCTCTATTAACTATATACGAACTTCCGGGGTAGATCGGAAGTCACATGATCTCAAATTGTTAGTGTCTTGCCTCTATACATTATACTTTTCCTGTCATCAAGCCCCTGTACATTATACTTTTCCTGATAACAACAAAGTCATGCTGGTAATTTCTCTGTTGGGGGAAATTTTTGACTTGAAATCACATGATTCCGGTGTAAACTGGAAATTCCTATATAGTTAACTGAAATATAATGAATTAGGTAATGTAAGTGACCTTACATTACATAAATGACATTTTAGAGAAATTATTCACTTATAATTAAGCTAGAGACAGAGAGAGTGACTTATTATTGTTGGAATTAGCCATGGATTTATTGGAAGAAAAATATAATTTGTTGTTAAGAAAAATAAATGTGGAGTAAGAGTAAAAAGAGACTGGATTTTTGCCAAATAAAAGAGATTTCCAATTATTGGATTATCTGTTTATATTCCACTTCTGTTAATTGTTTTTCTTTTATTTATTTTAATGCTTTTAAATACGATTTTATTACATTATTTATATTTGCTGTTTTTTCGAAATGAATTATTCTTTGTTTTATAACTTGTACAATAAATGGATTGTGGTTTTAATCGCCTGTATTGTTCATTTTGCAGTGAGTAAATTAATGGAGGATTGTTGAAGTCGGTTTATATATATTTTAACAGGAATCTGAGGAGGAAGGAAAGGAAGGAAAAGAAAGAGAAAGAAGTAAGGATAGAAAATAACAAAATAAAAAAATAAAGCAAAGGGGAGGAATAAGAAGGAAAAAAAGGAAGAAATTAGAGGTGGGGGAGAAGAAGAAGGGAGGAAATAAAAGAGGAGGAAGAGGAAGAAGATAAAGGAAGAGGAGGAGGAAGAAGTAAAGAAAAAGGAAGAAATTAAAGGTGGGGAAGGAGAAGAAGAAGGAAGAAGATAAAAGAGGAAGATGAAGGAGGAACAAGAGAAAGAAGTACAGGATAAAAAGGAAGAGCGTAAAGGAGAAAGAGAATGAAAGACAGGAAAAATAAAAAAGAAGGAGGAAAAACAGGAGAAGAAGAAAAATAAAAATACATTATTGCTGGCATTTTCTTTCTTGTTCCAACAAAAATATTTACTGGCTTTGATACAATTTTAACGAACTCGTTTCATTTTCGAATCGAGTTTCCATTTTATTTATCTTTTAATTCTCTTTAAGTAAAAATGCTGAATATTGTTTTTGTAATTCTGTCTTAAAAGCTTCATATTCGTTCCATTTAACTAATGTAAAATGGTGCAAAATTCCAATTACCCTTTCTTTTTAACTTTTAATTTAATTCGTGTATATCGTTTGCATTCTTGCAGTTTTATTAATCACTAACTCTACTATAGAGAGGCTTATGGAATTTCCTGCATTCGCATCTTGGATGAAACTACAAATAAATTGTTTTAATTATAATTTTAAAATATAATTCTTATATAAAATTATGTAATTAACGTTAAATTAATATTTTTTCATAATAATACTCACGAGATATATATTTTTTTCTCGTAATAAAATACACGTTACTCTTGGGAGATCGCGACCTACTGATTGAGAAACGTCACCTTACATACTAACGATTTAACCACTTATATATTCTACTTTACCTATCAACGTTTACAATTTGGGTGTGTGTACAATTACTGTTATGAGTCCTATTTAAATAATTAATTAAAAAAGTGTTAGAAGTGAATGAAACTGGAGCAAATTCATTCAAATTCAACCAACGTTATTTCTAACGTTTCAAGGGATTTGATGAAGTCCCCGCTTTGTTTATCTATTATATAATTCGAATTTAATAAACGGGAAAACTTTATTACTATAATACTTATTTATTGTGACATAATCACTGAAAATTTCGTCACAATGCTCGCAATTTTAGTAGTGTCTTGTTCCCATACATCATACTTTTCCTGTTAGCAATGAAGTCGTGCAGTTCAGGCGAAAATATTTGAATTAAAATAACGTAATTTCCGGTCTAAACCGGATGCTCCTATATAGCTAATAGGGGCCTATATCTTGTTTTGACCTTCATCTATCTAATTCCGTATTCTTTGATATAATTAAGGAAATAATATCAAATTCACATGGAAATA